ATAATCTGCCACTAGAGTTGTTCTGAAATACACATCTAATTGTTTAACTCACCTGCTTTAGGAAATTTTGCAACTCTAATGCCCAATTTCATGGTGTCTTAGTCTGCTGGGGCTGCCATAACAAATACTACAGACTGGAATTCTGAGCATGCCAAATATGCCAGCATAGTTGGTTTCTGGTGAGAGCTCTCTTCTCAACTTTCAGAAAGCTGCCTTCTCGCTGTGAGTAAGCAGAACAAGCTCTCTGTCATCTTTGTAGAAAGGCACTAATATCAAGTGGGCCCCATCCTTGTGACCTCATCTAAACTTAATTACCTCTCAAAGATTCCATCTCCAAATACCATTACAACAGGGGTTACAGCTTCAACATATGAACTTTGGTGGGGACACAATTCGAACCACAGCTTTCAAGGGCTTTTATGACTAGCTCTAAGCTTATTCCATTTTATTTTTTGTTGCTCCATGCCAGTACCTTCTGGGGTTCCAGAACATCACAAATAGCTCTCAAAACACATCATATACTTTCAACAGCAGCAGCTTTTCCATCCTGGCAAAATATTATGTACTTCAAATGTCCAGGCCAAACGCCACCTTGTATTGTGACTCTGCTTGGATTACTTCTTTGCATCACATCATTTTATACGCACTTCTGTCAAATTCAAATTGTTTGGGTTCAAATCATAATTCTGCTTGATTCTAAGTGTGTGAACTTAAGCAAGTCATTTGACTTTTGTGCTTCAGCAACCTCCTCCATAAAATGAAATCAATAGCACCTGTTTTATAGGGTTGATGTGGGGATTAATGATTTACTATTTGCAAAGTTCTCAGAGAAATGCCTGGCATATAATCAGCATTATATACATTATTTGCTAGCATTATTATTATATCATTTTAAGTGAGAGCAATCAGGATAAAAACCTTTATTCATAGACTGTAAATTTAGGGAAATGGCTCTGCTATGGCACTCCAGTGACCCTGCACTATCCACATTGGCCACATAGGCCACATAGGCCACATAGGCAGGTCTCAACTGCAATCTGCCCCAAGTCCTGGCAGAACATCCTGTGATCCTCCTGGAACATGGGGAGATATACAATCTTGTGAGGAGTTGCCTCAAGGCTGTTTCTTTTCTGTGTTTCTACCCTGTAGGAGGCTCCCTATCTTGTAGGAGGCTACCATGAGGCGGTTTCTCACCCTACTCCCTGGTTCCAATAAGGCATAAGGGTTTTCTACCTCCCTCCTCTTGGGTACAGATGCAGGCTATGAAACAGTTTAGCTACAGTCTAGAGTTGGCTCTTCAGCAACAGACTGCCCTACTGCTCATGTCACCTGTCATCTTGTATTTTTAGTTTGATGTTGTCCTGTGGGGCAAGAGGACATGGGGTGCTGACACCATGCTGATCTTGCTTATCCTGCCTGTGTAAGTAAAACCTATATCTATTTGGGCTCACTGTTTCCTTATTGGATGGATCTATGGAAGTCTGTGCTGCTGCTTATAGACTGCTTGATCTCTTGATAGCAAGTAAGCTCCTTGTGAGAAAGAGAAACCTATCTATTTTATTTAACACTGTATACCAAGTATCTGGCCTATAGTAAGTGCTCAATAAGTATGTGAATTAAAAAGTAGAGCAAACAATGGTAAATATGTATTTGAGGATATATAGTCAAGGATATATATCAAACCCATTATAACGGGATTCTTGTGGGGAGGGTCGGAAAGTATAGAGAACAAAAGAGACAATAAAAATAATAAATTAAAATAAAGTAAAATAGAACAATACAGGGGCATTATACTCATGAAATGTAAGGAAAAACATACATGTTATACAGGAGGGAAAAAGCCCTCTAGCTCTTATTATTCTTACATTAATTTATATGAGTATTTGATACCTTATTTACCTAACCGTAATACAAGGAGAAAAGGCTAGATAAGCATCTTTTAAACCATGTTCCGAAGAGCCCCAGTTTTTCTCCTAGGAGCTGCTTCATGAGTGAGAGTACCCTTTTAACCAAGGCAGTGGTACTTTTATGTATTTTATATGTTGGGCTTTCTCATAAAATTTTGTTTGAAGAAAATGGTTGGCAGCTAAAAACAAAACAAACCTGCAAACCACTGACCTAGCTGTAGCTCTAAAATTAATGTACAGCATGATGATTATAGTTACCAATACCATATTGAATACTGGGAATCTGCTGAGAGAGTAGATTTCAAGTGCTCTCAACACACACACACACACACACACACACAATGGTAAGTGTGTGAGGAGAGGATACATTAATTAGCTTGACTGCAGTAATCATTTCACTATGTATATGTGTATCAAATCATCATGTTGTTCACAAATCATCATGTTGTACAATTTTTACCTAGAGCATAAAATGACTAAATATAGATTAAGACAAGGGAAGAATGGTAGCTACAAACTCGGGAGAGGAGCAGCAGGTAAACTTTAGATAATGAAGCTCTTTGGCTTGAGGTTAGAAGGAAAGAACAAAAGGTTTGCTGAAGACATATATATCTGTAACTGAGAATTTTGTTTAGGACAATCGCTTTAATTTAAGACTCATGAAACTTGCTCTCTTATTTAGAGTCTGGGGAGGATACAGGAAAGGGTAATCTTTGTGAATTTTTAAACCCTAAATCACTCCTTGTACTTAGACTGTGCTACTATCTTCCTCAGCTTAAACAGAGGTCTTCTTTCTTCTTAAAGTTTCTGTTTTGGATTGTTACATATACACCAGGTCAAGCCTCCAAATGACAAATTTAGCCAGTTCTAAGGTGTAATTTCCCCCACACTTTGGTATTTCTGATACTGGGGTGCTTCATGCAATCAATGTTATTCCTTTGTTATTAAATAAATGGCAATTTGATGATATCTTAGATCTGAGAAAATCCATATTATCAGCAGGAATAATAAGCTTATAAATTTGAGCAAGAAGTACTTGAAATGTGGTCAACAGCCTCTTTAGTCTGAGTCTTACCAATGGGGTTAAGCAGTGATGGTGGATATCATCATTAATATGCCCACAAGATAAAATTCAAGCTACAAATCAGGGATTTTTTTTTCTTTTTTGAGAGTCAGCTTACCAGTATGCCACTGTCCACAGCTATTCTTTACTCTTCTTATACTCACAACTTACTCAATTAGGCCATGTTATTTCATGCCTGGATACCTTCCCAAGTGCTTTACCTCTGTTTGAAATGCCCTTCTTGGAATGTTGCTGCTGGAAAAATCCTGTCTATCCAGTGTTGATCCCTTTCTGCCTTATGTCACCATGTACCTGGTTTATGCCTTTAAATATGTACTTACCATACTGAATTGCAATGATTTGTTACATGTCCACCTCTTTTACTGTAAATTCCTTGAGGGTTATGACTGTATCTTATTTATCTTTATATCCCTAGTACTTAGAACAGTGCCTCGTATGCAATTGTACTCACTAAGTATTTAAAAATTGCATATATGAAGAAAAAGCAAGAGAAAAAACATTGTACATGTGGTGAAGTGCCATAGCACCAACAGATACTTCATGTGGTTTCCATTCAGTGTTGTCCATGCCTTATCCAAACCCTCTAAACTCCTGGTAGACTTAAAACTGTCAACAGTGAGTTTAACTATTAATAAGATGATTTCATTCATGTGAGTTCTGTCTCCCCAATTAGAAGTTCATTAAAGGGAGGGATCAAGTCTTCTTCTGTATATACTTGAGTTTTTTTTAAAGATTATTTTATTTATTCATGAAAGACACAGGGAGAGAGAGGGAGAGAGAGAGAGGGTCAGAGACATAGGCAGAGGGAGAAGCAGGCTCCATGCGGGGAGCCCGACGTGGGACTCGATCCCGGGACTCCAGGATCACGCCCGGGGCCAAAGGCAGGCGCTAAACCGCTGAGCCACCCAGGGATCCCCTACTTGTTGAGTTTTACATAAATTGTATACTCCTACTCTGAGGTATAATTTGGTTTCTAATAGCCAATTATTATTAATACTAGTAGCACTTTACAGGAGAGAGACAGAAAGGCTCACAGCAGTTATTTACTTAGGGCCTAGAATTTCTCCATAGTTTATAGCAATCCTCAATCATAGATATCAAAACTGTCATTTTACAGTTATTTAAAAGATAGGAATTGGGATATTACTGGTAAAACCCTGGAAGCTAATTACTTCAAGATCACTTTAAACCTTAACTCATTAGAGTTTGAAAAATCTCCTGAGGTACTTAAACTCACTATTCCCATTGTGTTACTTGATTCAATTCAATGTCTTAAATTTTATTAGTAAGAGAAAACCTGAAGTTCATGCAAAAGAGAGACTCCATTTATCATTTGCTTAAGAAAAAAATATTAAGCAAAGCATCTCCAATGGGTACCTCAGTACTCTATACAGTGGAGTGTCGTAAAGAGGGAGGGGAAAAGATAAATGCATAGCCTCTGATCTCAGGAAAATAATTCTCTACACCAAAATTACTAGTGTAGGTTACCAAAACGAGTTGCACCCCACCTTCTTGGTTAGGTCCAGACTCTTCAATCATTCTGAGGCTCAAATAAGTAGAAGTAAGGGGATCTTATTGATCTCATTGGTATTGCTGTTGTTATTACATAGAAACAGTGTCATCCCGATAAGGGAGTTTTAGAGTTTTAAATCAGAAGTTCGGATCCAAAAAGTAAGAAAAAAGTTCCTTTTTAAGTCTCACAATGTAAGCTGAGTCATTAGAAAAAATACAGATAGAAGAGATAAGAGAGATCCAGGGAAGGGCAGTTTTCATAGGACTAGAAATAGTGTATCACATCCTATGATTCTACTATTTTTATTTGTAAATCTTATCCATATATGTAATTTAGTTTGTGTTTACAACTTAAACTGTCAATCCCATTATTCCCTTAGTACCTAAAACATAGCAACCACTATTTTTAAAGAGTTTACTGCCTTGCCTGTGGTATTATGTATACAACAGTTAGTAAACGTAGCCATCAGGGTCATAGAGAAAATAGAGAGGCTCACCACTAGATCTTCACAACATGCGGATGAAGAATCCTTTCTCGAAAATCCTAGGAATATATCCTCAGTTCCCACCTGCTGTTTGAATATAACCTCATATCTGAAAAAAAAAAAGTCAATGATACAGGGACTCAAGAGAAAGAGCAAATTTCTGTCCCAGAGGAAAAAAAAAATTAGAAAATTATGTGGACATGCTATTACAAAAAATAAAAGAACTAAATAAGTGCTGACAGTTTCTCCAGGCATGTAGCAGAACATAAAGGAATAGAAGTCTAGAAAATTCAGTCAAAAATACCTACCATTAAAAACAAATACTTGACACTGTAAAGCAGGATTTATAGTGTATGTGCTTCTTTGAATAAAATAAGTTTAATTGTTTTAGAGCTATACAAATAAAGTGGATTGAGGGAACTTCTAATAAGATTAAAAGCAGAAGAAAAAAAAAGAAGGTTTTTTTTTTTTTTTCCTGAAAAGTGATGGCTCAGAAATATAGTAGGCCCGGAACCCAGAGTTTGATGATTAGGTGGAAATTCTCATTTGCTGAATTTAAGTTACAGAGTAGAGTTAGAAAATCCAGGTATTGGAAAGCCACAAACTACCAAAACTGGAACAGGAAGAAATAGAAAACCTGAACAGGCCAATAACCAGGGAGGAAATTGAAGCAGTCATCAAAAACCTCCCAAGACACAAGAGTCCAGGGCCAGATGGCTTCCCAGGGGAATTCTATCAAACGTTTAAAGAAGAAATCATACCTATTCTACTAAAGCTGTTTGGAAAGATAGAAAGAGATGGAGTACTTCCAAATTCGTTCTATGAGGCCAGCATCACCTTAATTCCAAAACCAGACAAAGACCCCACTAAAAAGGAGAATTACAGACCAATATCCCTGATGAACATGGATGCAAAAATTCTCAACAAGATACTAGCCAATAGGATCCAACAACACATTAAGAAAATTATTCACCATGACCAAGTAGGATTTATCCCCGGGACACAAGGCTGGTTCAACACTCGTAAAACAATCAATGTGATTCATCATATCAGCAAGAGAAAAACCAAGAACGATATGATCCTCTCATTAGATGCAGAGAAAGCATTTGACAAAATACAGCATCCATTCCTGATCAAAACTCTTCAGAGTGTAGAGATAGAGGGAACTTTCCTCGACATCTTAAAAGCCATCTACGAAAAGCCCACAGCAAATATCATTCTCAATGGGGAAGCACTGGGAGCCTTCCCCCTAAGATCAGGAACAAGACAGGGATGTCCACTCTCACCACTGCTATTCAACATAGTATTGGAAGTCCTAGCCTCAGCAATCAAACAACAAAAAGACATTAAAGGCATTCAAATTGGCAAAGAAGAAGTCAAACACTCCCTCTTTGCCGATGACATGATACTCTACATAGAAAACCCAAAAGCCTCCACCCCAAGATTGCTAGAACTCATACAGCAATTTGGTAGCGTGGCAGGATACAAAATCAATGCCCAGAAGTCCGTGGCATTTCTATACACTAACAATGAGACTGAAGAAAGATAAATTAAGGAGTCAATCCCATTTACAATTGCACCCAAAAGCATAAGATACCTAGGAATAAACCTAACCAAAGAGGTAAAGGATCTATACCCTAAAAACTATAGAACACTTCTGAAAGAAATTGAGGAAGACACAAAGAGATGTAAAAATATTCCATGCTCATGGATTGGCAGAATTAATATTGTGAAAATGTCAATGTGACCCAGGGCAATTTACACGTTTAATGCAATCCCTATCAAAATACCATGGACTTTCTTCAGAGAGTTAGAACAAATTATTTTAAGATTTGTGTGGAATCAGAAAAGACCCCGAATAGCCAGGGGAATTTTAAAAAAGAAAACCATAGCTGGGGGCATCACAATGCCAGATTTCAGGTTGTACTACAAAGCTGTGGTCATCAAGACAGTGTGGTACTGGCACAAATACAGACACACAGATCAGTGGAACAGAACAGAGAACCCAGAAGTGGACCCTGAACTTTATGGTCAACTAATATTCGATAAAGGAGGAAAGACTATCCACTGGAAGAAAGACAGCCTCTTCAATAAATGGTGCTGGGAAAATTGGACATCCACATGCAGAAGAATGAAACTAGACCACTCTCTTGCACCATACACAAAGATCAACTCAAAATGGATAAAAGATCTAAATGTGAGACAAGATTCCATCAAAATCCTAGAGGAGAACACAGGCAGCACCCTTTTTGAACTTGGCCACATTAACTTCTTGCAAGATACATCCACGAAGGCAAAAGAAACAAAAGCAAAAATGAACTATTGGGACTTCATCAAGATAAGAAACTTTTGCACAGCAAAGGATACAGTCAACAAAACTAAAAGACAACCTACAGAATGGGAGAAGATATTTGCAAATGATGTATCAGATAAAGGGCTAGCTTCCAAAATCTATAAAGAACTTATTAAACTCAACAGCAAAGAAACAAACAATCCAATCATGAAATGGGCAAAAGACATGAAGAGAAATCTCACAGAGGAAGACATAGACATGGCCAACATGCACGTGAGAAAATGCTCCGCATCACTTGCCATCAGGGAAATACAAATCAAAACCACAATGAGATACCACCTCACACCAGTGAGAATGGGGAAAATTAACAAGGCAGGAAACAACAAATGTTGGAGAGGATGCGGAGAAAAGGGAAGCCTCTTACACTGTTGGTGGGAATGTGAACTGGTGCAGCCACTCTGGAAAACTGTGTGGAGGTTCCTCAAAGAGTTAAAAATAGACCTGCCCTATGACCCAGCAATTGCACTGTTGGGGATTTATCCCAAAGATTCAGATGCAATGAAACGCCGGGACACCTTCACCCTGATGTTTCTAGCAGCCATGTCCACAATAGCCAAACTGTGGAAGGAGCCTCGGTGTCCATCGAAAGATGAACGGATAAAGAAGATGTGGTTTATGTATACAATGGAATATTACTCAGCCATTAGAAACGACAAATACCCACCATTTGCTTCAACGTGGATGGAACTGGAGGGTATTATGCTGAGTGAAGTAAGTCAATCGGAGAAGGACAAACAGTGTATGTTCTCATTCATTTGGGGAATATAAATAATAGTGAAAGGGAATATAAGGAAGGGAGAAGAAATGTGTGGGAAATATCAGAAAGGGAGACAGAACATAAAGACTCCTAACTCTGGGAAATGAACTAGGGGTGGTGGAAGGGGAAGAGGGCGGGGGTGGGGGTGAATGGGTGACGGGCACTGAGGGGGACACTTGACGGGATGAGCAATGGGTGTTATTCTGTATGTTGGTAAATTGAACACCAATAAAAAATCAATTTATTAAAAAAAAAGGAAAATCCAGGTATAGATCTGTTTCTGTCATTAACCGTGTGCCCTTGGTCATGTCACAAACCAGTGGGGTTGTCTGCTTCCAGATTTGTACAATCTATGGGAGAGGGGTAGGTTTGAACTCAGTGATCTCTACAACCTTTTTTCTGGCTCTAAAATTGTACAATAGAAATACTGATAATGCATTCAGCATAACTACCTTGTAGTATTCAGAATCTAGGCCTACAGAATTCTTAGTCCAATGAAAGATTTTTCTGGTATTTCACCTCACACATGAACAATTCACAAATCTTTCCTTGCCCCCAAATTTGGATCCCTAGGGACATAATGGTTTATAGAAAGAAACACTCAGCCATAATGTGCCCCATCTTTTTAGGTGGAATGAAGTGAGCAAACATTTACAAATGATCTTTTCCATTTAATTCTCCCCTAATGAAGAGATGCTAAATCTCTGGATAGGAGGACTAAAAGACTACCTCGACCTTCTGACCACTTCCAAATAGGATTGCCCAAGAATTAAAAAGGGATTTTTCTGAGTTTGAACAAGACACACAATAAGTAGCTATTTTATATGAGGCACTTTTTTCTTAATAGACTATAACATTTAACTGATATTTACAAAGGTGAAGCCAGGTTAAAGCAAAACAGAAAGGTATTGATCCATATGCCCATGACTCCCAAATGGATTTGTTCTAGCTGCTGCTCTTCTCTCCATCTCCAGATGCATTTTTCCAACTGTCTACTATATATATTTGTCTGGATGTCCCAAAGGCACCTCAGAATCCACACGTCCAAAACCAAACTCACTGCTTCCCCTCTACCTTCATTCCTAATCACAATTAAGGGCCTCACTATTCACCTGCTCACCCAAGTCAGTACCTTCAGCATAGTTTCTGAGGCTTTCCTCTCACTTATTATGTCTAATTAAATACCATAGATTCCTTTAAGAATCTTTCAAATAAGGGCCCTCATACTTCTCGCCAAGACCAGTGACTTAGCTCAGGCCCTTATTACTTTTTTTTTGGCCACTCATGATTCTTCCTTTGTAAGCTGCCTATTCACTTTCTTTACTCATTTTCATCTTTACCTACTGGGATGTTTTGAAATGTACTTGTGTAAGATAGAAAAGAAATTTTAAAAATGTAATTTTTTTCATGTCCTTATTGGAGTTCTCATTCATTTAAAGATTTCATGAATGTTCTTTCTGCAGAATATCAAACATCAGGATGAGAAGTGAAAATTTACTCAAATTTGGAACTTGCCACATATGGATGTTTGACATTCATCAGACAATATGACAAATGTGTGGCTTACCTCTTACCTTTCACACGGATGTGTGGGTACTGTATAAACATAACCTGAGATATACTCTCTTCATTTTTAAGATACACACAGAAATGTTTTAAAACCCCTTTTGATCTTTTTTATGAGGTTTATGGGGTTTTTTGACATTGTTTATTTGAAAGCTGGATACATTTTTCCAGTTAATTATCTGCAGTCTCCCACTGCTTCTATTTTCAGAACTGATGTAGAAGATAAAAGCATAGGGTTGTTTTCTTTAAAAAAAAAAACATTGGACACAATTTTATAGTCAGAATTACAAAAGTTGTCAGATCACTTACCATAGAAGTCTTCAAAAATTTATAAAGTACATTATAATTTAGTAAGTACTGCCTTGGTTTTTCAAGCTATACCAAATAATCAAGATTTTATTTTAGAATACATATATTTAAAGTCTAGTGTATCTAACCATTAATTTAAATTATGGATGTGAACACACTTTCAGTTCCTTGAAATTGTGGGTGATTTATTTCATCAGAGTGAAGGGCTATTCATGATAATAAACCTAAATTTCATATTTACAATTCATATTCACAATTCCTATTGAAAAGGCTACAAAGTGAGGCTTTAAGCCTGCCTGCAAAATATATTAAACATAATCCTAAAATAACTAGTAAATAGGTCCAGGTAATAATAGATAATTGGAGAGAGAACACAGCCTTTTACCAAAATTGTGGAGCATTGAGTAATTAAAATCAGGTCTTTGACACATAAACATGGTATAATAATTTAGCTTGTATGAATGCTTGGAACTCAATGGGTTTTCCCAGTCTTAGTTCCCCATTAAACAACTGGCCAATATTAAATATAAATTTGTCACGGAAATGACTGTATTTTTCAGTTTTTGTTTGATAATAACTGAAAGGAAGGTGTCATGTTTTATTATTTGTTTCTGCTCCAGGAGGGAAAAAATTATCAATTACACATGCCTTCTGTGCACTGTCACCATAGTTTTCTCTTTTATGTGGTAGAGGTTACTTTACCAATCTTGTCAAAAGTAGAATGGTATCAGATGACACATCTACCTTAAGCCCCCAAACACTTTGCTGGCATCATCTGACTTACTCAGGCATTTCTCTAACATCCCACATGTCATCGTGCTCTGCTCCCTCTGGAACCTCTTCTGGATTCCAGATCTCCTCGGCATTTTCATCACTGCTCTGAGGGATGACTGTGGAGAAAGGGAAGATAAAGCTGAGGCTGTTGTCTGTTCTTCACGCTCAGTTTGGGATCATCAAAGTAAAACATTTTCTATTTGTAATCACTAGTTTATGTTTTAGTCCAAACAAGCTAAATTAATAGAAGTGTGAAATTTTTAAATGAATCCACAACTAATACACTGTAAAATTGTAATAATAGTAGAAAATTTGGAAATGACATATAAGGAAAAAGAAGAAAATAAAATCATCTATAATCCAACTACCCAGAGATAGCATTCTGGTCTGGATCTTTGTAGCCTATCTGTGCATGTGCATGCATGTGTGTACATATATAATGTATAATATATACTTAATATGTGAAATAACATTTTATTTGAAAAAATATATAACATATATATGCAAAGAAATATTGCACATTTTTTCCAGAAACATTGATAGGATCATATGTAAAACATTTATGTAAAAGAACCAATCAAACATACAATCACTCTGATTTGGGGAGCCAATGTCTTATCTTGCATTGGGTATTACTATCTAAAAGTTCTTTGATACCTTTGCCATGCAAGCATGACATAACTCTTTATAAAATACTATCAGTTAAAGAAACTGAAAGCAGTGGATACAATGATCATTTTTTTACCTTTTTAAAAGATTTTATTTATTTATTTGACAGAGAGAGAGAAAGAGAGAGAGAGAGAGAGAGAGAGAGAGAGCACAAGCAGGGAAGAGCGGCAGGCAGAGGGAGAGGGAGAAGCAGGACCCTGGATCATGACCTGAATGGAAGGCAGAAGCTTAACCCACTGAGCCACCCAAGCGCCCCCAGGATCATTTGTTTTATTTTTTTTTAATTTTTTTAAATTTTTATTTATTTTATGATAGTCACACACACACACACACACAGAGAGAGAGAGAGAGAGAGAGAGAGAGAGGCGGAGACACAGGCAGAGGGAGAAGCAGGCTCCATGCTTCCGGGAGCCCGACGTGGGATTCGATCCGGGGTCTCCAGAATCGCGCCCTGGGCCAAAGGCAGGCGCCAAACCGCTGGGCCACCCAGGGATCCCAGGATAATTTGTTTTAATTCACTATTTTCCTCATGTAGATGTGTGAGCCTTCAAGAAAATCTTTATTACTTGTCCTTTATGTTGGACTGAACATGTACCTGGGCATCTACATGTCATCTTTAAATATTTAAAAGTAAATAAGGCATGCAAAAGATCTGCTTATATTTGTTCAACATTAAGTGCAGTACATTATTTTGAGTTCTCCTTTTAAGCATCCCCAAAATGCACCTGATTACCAGGTTTTCAATACTGCTAACTCTTTTAAAATTATCTGCTTCTGTCTAACATGGGCTTTGTAAAGCCTAATTACAGATGTAAGTAAAAGTGTTTACATATGACTCATTGTTCTCAGAATTTAGAAGATATTAGGCAGATGCTATCAGAAATTCAGGCAGCATAGAAATACATCAAAATTTGAACTAGTCTTCCAACATCTTGTGAATGAGGCAAAGAGACTCTTGAGTATGTAGAGTATAATCACTGAAATATTAAAATCATCCTCTCAGACCTCATGTTAGCCATTATTTTAAACAATTTTCCAGATAAAATCTTTTATAATCAGCTAAATTGATGAAGGAACTTCACTTCCTTTCCCTGTCCACCCTCTGGTAACTGTCATTTTGACAGAATTAGAGACTTCCATATTTTTAGAGATGTGTAAGATGTTCAACTCTGTGAAAATGTATAGGCCAAAATACTGGGAAAACCTCCCCCCAAATATTTATTCTAATTTATTGGACCCATCAATATATATGTCCCCCCATGGGCCTTAATTTACAAGCATTTTGATGCAAGATAAAATTATGTGGCTATTTGTTTTATTGTTTTCTCTAAAAGACTATTAAATTAGCTCAATGGGGGCAGAGACTTTTCTATTTTGATCATCATACCCCAGGGATGTTCATACTACCTGGTACATAAAAGGCTCTCAATAAATATTTGTTGAATGAATTAATGAATTCTGTGAAATTGCCAGAATATAGCAGGGTAGAAGGTGAAGAAACTAAGCATCTTGGTAACTAGACCTCAAATAATAAAACAGTTATTTAACCACACATGACTTTCTTGGTTTTACATCTCAGGAAATATGCCAAAAAATGAATGTGAATAATTCAAGGCAAATTAATTTCCATTAATATAAAAATGACTTACCTACAACAATAGAGTAAAACAACATCTTTATATGTAAATGGCTGTCCATCATTTCCATGATTATTTGAGTTCCTCTTTGACAAATCCTAGTGTTAGTACTACTCTCCCTATAATTTTGCTCCCAAAGAAAAGGTTGTACTGATTATATTGATCTATATGCTTGTTAAATAATTTACCTCTGAGCTCTTCAGTGTTTGGAGGTCCAATATTCCCAGGCCCCATGGCTCCAAAAGCAGATGAACAATTTGGCTGGGAGAGAAGAAAAAAAAGTCCAACATTCTGTAATTACTACTTGTGTAACTTAAATTTGACAAGCTTTCCATCTAAAATTTCATAGAGCTTGTCATTTAATCATCATTGTTATACAACAGAGAGATAGATGCCAAGTATTATTTAGAATGTGTTTTCCTTTTCCTTTCAAAAAGTATTTAGTTTAATAGACCCTAAGGCAGAACTGATCTTTGATCAGACTAAATCCCTGGTTTTAGCCCAATGAATCCTGTATCCCTGCGGATAGGGGAATGAGCCATATTCATCTCTTTGAAGGTCAGAACCACGTATTAGTATTAAGAGCATCGACACTTTTGGGTTTTTGCCGTATCTCACCATAGTTGGATGGGGGATGGAAAAGGATGGGAAAGTTCTATAGAAACCAAGACAAACAAAAAAAAATAAACCAAAACAAGCCACTAACTCAGATCTTAAGTGTTTGGATAGCAAAGAACTCATTCGAAACTCCCGATAACAGATTTTCCTTCTTTCCACAGTGGGCCTGAGACACTTCCTTGTCACACTACCTCATGACACAGAACTAATGGATTTATTTATTTTTGTTTTTATTTTTAAAAAGATTTTTATTTATTTATTCATGAGAGACAGAGAGAGACAGAGACATAGTCAGAGGGAGAAGCAGGCTCCCCACAGGGATCCCCATGTGAGACTCCATCCCAGGACCCCAGGATCACAACCTGAGCCAAAGGCAGATAGACAGTCAACCACTAAGCCACCCAGGTGCCCCAAACTAATGGATTTAAGCAGCGACCCCAAATTAACAGTGTCAGATACATGCTGGACCACTTTAGTCCATGTAAGTTCATTTCGCCATCTTCTTTGCACGCCCCCACAGGACTGCCCTTCTCCTCACCAGTACAAGAACAATTTTACTTTTATAAGTACGTATAACATATTTTACACTATCAAAGAGTGGCAACCACTTCATTGATCCCTCTCAGGGGTCTTTGGATATTTCAAGAAAATCTCAATATTTTATTAAAATGTTTTTGCTGATGCCAGACTCTGCCGCTCCAATTTACCATTGCTGGAAGTCAACGACTTCGTCTCTCCCTGGATCCTGGCAAACTAGCATATCTAGCTCTTTTTGCTCAGGCCCCTGCCTCGATCTCCCAAGACTTCAGACATGCACAGGAGTTACAATGTCCTGTTTGGGGCAAGAGGAATAGTGTCTGTCCTTGAAAGCCGGTGAAAAAGCTCACCTGTGTCTTTATTATACTAAACTATTCCAACAGCTATAAATCAGAAATTAATCTGTAACATCTCACCGGTTTCTAAGATAGTAACCATTCCTTTCCAAAAGGTGCTTCAAAAGTGCTAGGTCTGCAGTTAAGGTGTTACAGGCATTTTTATATGAAAAATCCCAAGACAGTGTTCTGTACAGTTTTTTTCACCACTCAGGTCATATAAACTTATAGTGCTTTTCTTAAGTTATTAATCGCCAGAATACTAATAGTAAATCAGGGCAAAGCGTTTCTTGGAACATGAGGGCCTCTTGTTTTGTTGAGTGACTCCTTCTGTGGAAAATTAAAATCTTTAGAAAGAAAAACTTGAACATTGCTGACCAAAATTAGTATGCTCTCCATGCACAGTGATGATTGGATCACTACATCACAACAGAAGGGGAGTTGTGGTTTATTAACTTCATGAAAATAAATGATTAAAAACAAAAATTTCAGGTGAAAAAATGAACCAGGATAATAAAAACGTTAAAAACCATCTTGCAAATGTTTTCTCTAAGAAAATAATTTCAGCCTTTAGCGTGGACCCACACCCAATTATCTAAGAAATTTATCATTGCAACTCATGCCACTTTGCAATATGGGAGAGAGTTGGAACAACTTTGTTACTATTATCTGTGGAGTGATGAACCTTATTTCAAACAGATGTTAAGATCCCCTTGTGAGTTTAAAAAAAACCACTCTCTTCCCAACCTCCCAGATTCTTAGCAATTCATGGTGGGGATGGGGTAAATAAGCCAACTCATTTGCAATAGTTCTGATGCTGTTTTCAGAGAGAGCATTTTCCAAAAACCATCATTCTTGTAATCATTGTACAGTTCCCAAGATTAATGCATGTTAAAAAATGAAAAGCCATTTCTCTCCTGGAAAATTTAAGAGTTCATTAGAAACATTAATTATTCTCCCACTGTTCTGATACTCCAATTCTATATCCTCTAATGATATCTGTACTGCAGTGTCTGAATGACCAATTACCTCAAAATTGCTTATAACCCAGATATACAGAATCATACATTATTACAGTAATTTTCCTCTATGAATTGTACCATTTGATAAAATAATCTTCATCTCTCTGTTCTCATAATCACTCATCTTTCTCCTAGAATCACCTCTAAATGCAAATAAACTTCTCCATATGTAAACACCAAAGAGAACAGGCTGTTTTACCAGGGTAAATCTTTATCTCTGAATCTGTCCTAGTGAGAAGATCCACTTACCTCTTTTCAACGTTGCTGTGTCTCAAATATTTAATATACTTTTTGTACATGACATAGCCCTACCCTTCCCAGGATGTAGCCTTCTATTTCAGCTTAACGTGGCAAAAAATGGACTTACCTTCCTAACCTCATTGATACGTTGCTCCTAAATTTTTCTCCAGGGTGCTGCTTGTTGTATATATTATTAATCTCTTGATTTTTGTTTAGCCTTTACTACATTTTCCCTGATTAGCCCTTCTTGGATCCTATCTCAAAATTGCTTCAGCTACCATCTACAAATTTTATTTCCTTTGCACATCTTCCTTCATTCTACACCTTCCACCTAAACTCTTCCTGGAGGGTGAAAGTTGCATCCAGTATTGATCTGAGCCCCTGTATTTACATTTGTTTCCCTACACAATGGCAGAAAAGAATTTGGCGGGGGGTGGGGGGGAGGAACAAACTGATATGCATGCTCACTGGAGATGATTTTTTCATGGCAGATTGGTCATCATAACAACTTCACTAAGATCATTTAAAGCAATATGACATATTCTGCAAGAGTAGGAGATCTCTGCCCCAAATTTTGTTTGCCTTCATGTAGATAGTCTGACAGCCAAGGTTTGCTGATACTGAAGGAGCAGGGGAATGGAGAGAGCAGAGGGTTACCTAAAAGCATTTTGATTATTTTGGGAATACCAGCAGTGATTGTGAAGGGGCGAAGGTCAGTTCATGGAACTCTCCTACCCAAAATGAAGCGTCTCTTGCTGCTTGCAAGCCTCCCTGGGGTTACCTACCCTGATCCCAAATGCTATCCAACAAATTAGATTCCACAGCTCTGTGTGAGCCGGTATCCAGAAGTCAATTCTTGTAAGCTAAAGGTAGTTTGTCTCATTATCTGGCTCAAATGATTCTCTGTTCTGTTTTCATGTGTCGACAAAAATTTTTTAAAGATTTTATTTATTTATTCATGAGAGACACACACAGAGAGAGAGGCAGAAACACAGGCAGAGGGAGCAGCAGACTCCATGCAGGGAGCCCGATGCGGGACTCGATCCCAGGACTCCAGGATCACACCCTGCGCTGAAGGCAGGCACTAAACCACTGAGCCACCCAGGGATCCCCTGTTGACAAATTTTTAAAAATTAAGGGAACTGGACTATGGGGGCCTAATTAATACTGTCTAGTTGAAGTTATTTGTTTTATAGGAATACTGTCTAGGCTTAAAAACCCAAGCTACCTCTCTTTGCAGTGGTTGTCAAGCATTATTTGGCCATAAATATAAATGACAAACATTTTGAAATGTGGCTATTGCTACCATAGTTACAGAACTATTTTCCTATTCAGTGCTCAGGTAGTTTAGAAAAAATATAATTGTGTTTGCTAGAAATGTACCAGAGGTTACACTCTCATGCATAATCAGTCCTGCAACCTCCTGTGAATATATCGAATGACATAGCCCTGCTCCCCACAACAAGGTTGGGACAAGATGTTCAAATACAGTTTAACAACTTAGTGTGAATAGAACTAATTCATCTGTAAGTCTATGACCACCTGTCCAGGCTCAAAATCATCCTCTTCTTCAGGATAAAGTAGCTTCGAGAGAGCTTGCAGAGCTGAAACCGAAGAAATGGTTTCGATCTCCATATTTTCAGACTCTGGATTTTTGGTTTCCATATTTTCGGTTTCTGCATTTTCCGATTCCATATTTTCAGGTTCCATGTTCTGAGGAAGAAGATAATCAGAAAGAGATAGTTTGGTATTCTGTTTCACTGACAACCAAAGATTAAATCAACCTTCAGCCTTTTTTTTTAAATTTTTTAAAAAATTTATTTATTTATGATAGTCACAGAGAGAGAGAGGCAGAGAGAGAAGCAGGCTCCATGCACCAGGAGCCCGATGTGGGATTCGATCCCGGGTCTCCAGGATCGCTCCCTGAGCCAAAGGCAGGCACTAAACCACTGCGCCACCCAGGGACCCCCAACCTTCAGCCTTTAAAGTAATCCTTACAGTTACATTTAGGGTAGGAATTCAGAGTCTTTAAACATCTTGGAAGTGTCACAGACTTTAATGAATAGCCTGAGTAAAGACTATTGTTAATTATTTGGGCATAAATATAATAGGAATCTGTTCTATACCTCTGCTAATATTTTTTAAACATGAATTTTATAAAATTAAGTCACAGGGAACACTTCTTTAGCACTGTTATTAAATGATCCACTACAATTCCTGCATTGTGCCTAGAACAGTAATACAAAGAGACTCTCAAATGTGTGCTGGTACAAAATCACTTGTCAAAATCAATCTGCATACGGATGGTGTTTTACAAACCTTCTGTTTTATTATGTTTTACTATTATTTTGACTTTCTTTTTTCAATGAAAAACCTATCTTATTGCCTATAGGAGATGTCAAGGGTATGAAACAAATGTGAAATTGCCTTATACATCTAGCATAGAGGCAGTGTATCACAGTGGTTTAGAGTAAGGTGTCTGGAGTCATGCTAACTAGATTTGTATCTATTATTTACTTCCCAGCTCTTTGATGTTGGGCACATCATTTAAACTCTATACACCCCATTTTCCTCACCTGTAAAACAGGAATAATAGTGCTACCTCATAGGGTTGTTATAAGGATTAAGAAGCTTCATACACGTCAAAGAGCTGGGAACAGTGTCTGGCACATAGTAAGCGTGCAACATGTGTTAGCTATTATTGGTCCTTTAAAATTTTAATTTTACTGGGCATGAATATCACTTCTAATAATGATGTCAAATAAGTTAATGATAAAATTCATTATTACATTGGAAACTCATTAAATTGGAAAAGGTGAAATAAGTGGTGATAAAACAATCTTCTCTCATGGTATGACCTGATAGTCTGTTATGGAAATAAATAATTGACAAATTAAACACAAAGGCTCTTGTTTATATTTCAAAAGTTCTAGTTGATTATCTGTTCATTAAATATTTACTGAACACTAAAAGCAAAAAGCTTATTGACACATTTTCTACCTTTGAAAACAAAAGGGGAAATGGATCCAGGTCTCAGATGCAGTGATATGAACAATATTTTGAGTTGAGATTGCACAAACAATGAGGCTTTTATAAAACAAATATAGCAGAAACTGTTTTATTACTCCAGCATTTCCCACCTTACACAATTGTTGTGATGGCCTTATTATGCAACGCAGGTGAAAGAGTTTACTAAAATCTGAAAAGCTGTATAAAATTGTCATTGTTATTTGGCACATAGGGCCTGCACACACAGATACTTGATGATGAGGCTTGTGAGAGCTTAATGGTGGGCTGGTGAGAGGGGAATAAACTGGAACCAGCAAAGCTAACCCAGAAGAAGGGTATTCAGAAGTCCCAAATACAGTGTCTGAGGTAGCGATCGGAATTGCTATTCATATATTTTCATCATTCATATTTTCATTTTCATGTCAGGGGCATGACAGCGGGAGTTTGGGGACATGAGCAATGTTTCAGGGCAGAAAGATTGAATAATCATGGTTACATGGAGGTCTGTTTAGGTAATCGGTGCCTAGAAGTGGCACATCGGGGGGGGGTTTAGGAAGTCTGTTTAGGTGAACAGTACCTAGAACCCTGGTCCATAGGTGGGAGTGTATAGGAGGCAGGGCCAATTGATTCTTGAGGATTACTGGGGAGTTGGCAGCTAGATGAAGGTTCAGAGTAGGGCAGGGCTCAATGTTACAATTGGAAAAGAGAACTAGGCACTGAATCAAAGGCTTTCTCATGTTACTGGGTAGCTACATTATGAAGCAAGGCTGTTGTTCAGTGGGTACAGTGGATACTGGATTGAGGGAAAGCAGATTTATCCTAAATCCCTACCAGTTGGGAAGTAGCTCTGGTCTGGTTATCTGGTGAGAGGCAGGGCATGGGCAGTGGGAAGCCATCCCTGTAAGCTGAGAGTCTCAAAAGCCAGAGCTGGCATATAGTCAACAGTTTATGAATACCAAATGAAGCAGGATTAAATTCACACGAATATTGTATTTCAAAGTAGTCACTTTGTAAATTATAATATCAGTGTTCAAAATATTTTGGAGTTGCCTTCATATGTATCACCAAGAAAATAGGTATCATTATGGCATCACTCAGTTTGATTATACAACAGATTTGTCCCCAAGTGATTTCTAGATGTATTTAGATATTACATCTACTTTCAAAATATGAAGATTTGCTACATTGAGGAGATTCAAGAGAATGTGCTATAGGCCTGAAAGCTATTCTAAAAGAGTATTTTGAAAAATAATTTGAGCAATAGCAAGAGCAAGTGGATAGACTCCCAAAGTGACTGCTTTAAAGGGGATGCCACTTCTTGGGATGTATGTTTGATCATATAACAAATCATCCACAATAATTTATAGTAACACTCTACATATCTAAAGCACATTAGGAATTAGACTTCTTAAATTCTAAATTATGCTGGCATAAAATGGCATAGATTCTTCTGTAGCTAAAGGGGCATAGACATGTCATAATGAAATTGGCACGTTAGCAAAAATATTTTTTACCATATCAACTCTAACAATAACCTGCACACACAAAATAATAAATCAAAACATTCTTGTTGATATTATATTTTGAGAAATGAATCACCAGTACTTTGTGAATAACTAATTATTTGAAAGGATCAAAAGAGAAAAACAGTGATGTGAATTTTTGGAAAAAAATATTATAAATTTAATGGAAATGCAGAGTCTATCACCTTTTTTAGAAGTCTAACAAATTAAGAATAATTTATTAAACTTTATTGAAAACATTAAAGCTTACTTGACAGAAACATCACATTGTAAAAACTAAAGCAAGATGCCTTTTTACAAACCATGCAGTATTATTCATTTATAAGGCTATCTTTTACCTGTAAATTTGAGATACATTAGGTTCATCTTAAACCTGGCAACCAAGGTCATTTATGATGTCACCCTAACCTAATTTTCTGCCACTCCTTATTCTCCTACATGCAATCTGTGTTCTGTTAAAAACTGAATTGCTTATTAAACATACCCCATGGGGCGCCTGCTTAGCTCAGACGGTTAAGCATGTCTGGGCCTTTATTTCCACTCCGGTCATGATCTCAGGTTGTGAGATTGAATGCCAGCTCCAGGCTCCCCACCTCAGCGAGGAGTCTGCTTTGGATTCTTTCTCCCTCTTCCTCTGCCCCTCCTCCCCAAATAAGTAAAATCTTAAAAAAATACTCTATAATCTCCTGCCTTTGTACCTTAGAATGTATTCTTCCTTTTGCCTAGACTACCCAGTGTAGTGATATTTTTTTTTTTTTAAAAAAAAGAACATTCTAGAGCCCCAGTGCCTGAATCCGGCATTGCCACATAATCAGGCCAAGAATAAATTGAAATTAAAGAAAATTTCAGTAATAGTTTCATTAAAAACAAAATATATTGCTAGATAAATTTGAGATTTGGTTATTAGAAAATAGATTTTCTAGGCCCTTTGATTTTATTTCTCGCACTCTCCTTTGCTAGGCTAATACCAAAGGCAGAATTTTCCAGATAAAGCCTATGATTTTCCCACATCAACTTGAGCCATTGGGGCCTTCATACATAAAGGTATGTATGATTGGGGGAATCTCTCTTGGTACTAGCCACAAAGAGCTAAGAAGACAGACACTTCAGAAAGGGCTCATTACAGAAACATAGAAACCAGTTAGGGAATAAACAAGCTCAACCAGGATGGCTCCAGACCCATGGCACTGAAGCAGTATCAGTAACCAGGGATTAAGTCTGACTCTGGTTGTGAGGGCTGGGGTCATTCCTTCTATTTTATTTGCATCCATCCACAGTGTCAGTAGAGATGGTTCTTTGACTTGAACTAAATGGAGAAAAATCTAAGTGAAATTAGTAAAAACCTTGAATAACAGACTACTCAAAGGCAAATGTTATATTAATTCAAGTATATATAGTAAATAAAACCAGGGAAATAAAGAATCATAGCTAGTATCCTTTGGGAACTTGTTTAATAGGTAAACACATACCCCTATGTAAAGCACTGTTTATAGTTGAATGATCTCAAAGAATTCAAAATCCATTTACTCTCTTAAATTTGGCATTTCTCTGGCAACTTTATTCACATAATTCTTATTTAGCAATTTCTGAATTAAAATTCTTCTGAAAATGCAAAAGTAAACATCATCTCTGCCTATGTCTGAATTAAATTACAGTATGTTGGCTAATTTCTTTTTTTACATTTTTGACAGCTATACATATCAATGATTATTAAAAATAATTCATTTTTTAATTTGTCTTTACAATACCAAGAATGATTTCCTTTTTTAGGTCTCAAATTTTCACTGCCATAAAATGTATCAAGTCATAAGTAACTATGAAGACTTAACAGGGTTTTTCTTATAAATTTATTTATTTTTCTTATAAATTTAAAATATATTTAATAGGAAGATGATTTTTGAAAGTACTTGGAATATTTCATAAATGAGCCTCTTTTAATACTTCCTCTATTACACTTTATTTTAGACAAACTTAATACACTTGGCATTTTTTTTTCTCTTTAATCCTCATTCTCTACCTCTATCTAAAAAGGACCTGAGACAGCAAATTTTCCTTCAGTGCTTTGAAATTTTCTCCCTAAGTCAACAGGCCAGTGCTTAATTTCTTTGGGAAACAGTCTCTGTTCTGAATCCTTGTCAGAACAGGAAGCTCTTAGGAGAAATGACCCCTACCACTCTGGTCAAATTCTGTTCTCTCCCCTTTGATTTTATTTTATTTTTGACACTGTTTCTTACCTTTTGACAGGTATAGTCCAACGACTATAATACTCGCCTGATCCACCCTCGGTGAGCCTGGGTGAGTAGCAGGCTCACAAGTAGTCTTCGCACACGGCGCTTCAGCCCACTTAAGTGCTGTCTGTCTGTCTGCTTCTCGGTCCTCAACGGATCTGACCAACGTCCGTTGGAACCCTCAGGCCACAGTGTTCAGGTTTGCGCAAACAGGCCATTGTCCATGTAGAAAGTGGCACGGGCCAATATTCTTTAAATTTGAACAGAGTCGTACTATATATATATATATATATATATACACACACACATATATATATGACAGATTTGTATATTTAATATATAAATACAGATATATATATATATATATATATATTTATCTCTATATATCTCAGATATATATATATATAATCTCCCAACCAAGCCCCTCTGGTAAATGATGCCTGTGTATGTAAAACACAAGGAACAGTGGGTTATCTGGAGCACCCAGATCTACCTATAAGAGCACAGTTTTCACTCTCAAATTAGTGTTACAAGCATATGTATGTGTGAGTTGACAAAGGGCATTGAGAAGCCTTCATGTGTTCATTTTGGCCTTCAGACGGTCGAACAGCATCTATCCCCTTGTATTGTAAAACCGTCCCACCTCTCACAACCTGAATAGATTTGAGTTTTATTAAAGCTGCCTCCGGCTTCTAGTGTCTAGGTCAGGGGAATTTAGGGAAAAGGTCTGTTCTACTTGTTACTTGTGGCTTTGGGGGGTATCTTTTCAGAGTTAGAAGTACTCTAGAGTTCTCCTTAGTATTTCCGATAGACAGGGTGTTTGTGGACCCTTTCTTTCCCCTTCCTAAGGTTCAGGTTTTCTCACCTGGGTCAGTTTTCGGTCGCTGGCTGGGCGGAAAATAGCGGAGAGCTCTGCGTCTCTCTGTTGCCTAGGTAACAGTTTTGTTGCCCCCTCCACTCACCACCTCCCAGGTTCCCGCTTGACTTTCCTGGCCAATCACAGAAGAGTTTCCTTTGAAACAACACCAGAACCAACCAATCCGAGCGCGCGCCAGTCAGGGTCAATGGCCGCCCTCTCGGTTTAACTAGGTGGACCCCAGTGAAGTGTCTCTCAGCGTCACTCCAGCAGCAACCTGCTTGCTGTAGAGGCCGGTTTTTTTTTTATTTTTTCTGGTGGGATTAGGCCCAGGCCCGCCTCTCTGACCGCTTAAGACAGTCTCGGAGGTCCTCCCCATTTCTTTTGGATTCCTGACTGCGAGCGGCGCAGCGGCGGCAGGCAACAGGGTAAATTTGCGGGGTTTTCGTTTGTCCCAATCCTCAGCGGGCTCGCTCATCTTTGCACTTTTCCCGCAAGTGAATTCCAGACTGGACAACTGATCCCGTGGATCCGGGACATTGGTGGTGGAATGAGAGGCTCGGTGGCCCGGGGGTTGAGAAGGTTTTGCTGCAGCTCTGCACGCGCTCCCCACGCGCCCTCCCCGCCCCGCGACTGAGGCACGTGTTGTGGTTCCGTCCAAGCTCAGCGTCTCTCTGTGTGTGCATGCATGTATGTGTATACACCCGCGCGCGCAGGTAAGGGGGTACCGCGCTTCTTTGCCTCAGCTCAGCTTGTGTGTGAGGGGAGGTGCGTAGGATAGGATCGCGCTTCTCCTCAGCTTTGCGCGCGCGCACGCGGGGCGTGTTTGTGTGTAAGGTGGGATCGCGCTTCTTTTCCTCCGCTCAGCGTGTGTGTGTGTGTGTGTGTGTGTGTGTGTGTGTGTGTGTGTGTACGGTAGGGTAAGGTAGGGTGGGATCTAACTTATTTTCCTCTGCTGTGGTGGGCAAGACTTCTGGCGCCTGAAGGGGGAGAGCATCCCTGCTGCCCCTAGAACTACGGTCCCACTCCCAGTAACAGAGGGGACCCGGCGCCCTGCTTTTCCCGCCTTGGAGCGGAGAAACGCAGGCGCGCCGCCGGCTTGCCACTGCTTGGCAATCTGAATGTCTTCACTTCACGTAGAAGTACAGTTGTGACACGGGTTCCACGTAAATTCCGTGGTTTGGTTTTGAGCAAAAGGGGCAAAAGGGGATGACATAATAAGCATTTGGACTTTTCGGAACTGATTAGTTGCGTTGGATTGTGGGGCCCCTAATTTGTTATTTGAGCGTTGTGGGCAAAGAGCGATAGAATGGCTTTAATGGATGGTTACATTTGGTTAGCCAGCGATTGGAATTCGATTAATGAGTTCACTAAATTGCTTTCCTTCTTTTGGCTATCATGTTTTTCCAGCTTCCATCTTATCTGGTGAAGGCGACAGTGAAGCCTGAATAATTGGTCCATTCTACTTGTTATTACCACAGCGAACAAAATAAATCGAGGTATAATGTTTAAGTTATTAGCTAAAAGTAAAGTTACTGGCTTTTTGGCCAAATTAATTATACCACAATACCCCTTATGACTATAGATGATTGGAGTTTGTCTTAAATTTTGTTATTTCCCTAGAAATTTGTGGAACTTAGGTTTATATGCTCTTTTTTTATTGCTTTTTTGTTACTATTCTGCCTCATTGTGCAGTATTCTAAGTAATGCCTAGCTAGTACTTTTCAGACCTTTTTGCTGTAACCACAGTAAGAAATTAATTTTATGTTGTGACCTAGTATATACATATACAATATATAATTGACAGTCATTTCACAAAAACAATACTTAACTACATGCAATTTACTCTGATGATATCCATTATATATATGTGTGTGTGTGTGTGTGTATTTTAATGTAGACCACAACCCACTAATGAATTTTCATTCAGTTTGAAAAATATTGGCTTTCTATCTTTGGTTTTCAAACGTGTGTGTTTAGGAATCACACAGGATGTTTGTCACTCTTGGAGAGGAAGAAAATTTTTCTCTGTCCCTAAAGATTCTTCTAGGTGGACTAAGACTTAAATTGACATGAGACAGATTAAGAGGAGAAAATCAATGTAATTTTGTACGTAAGGGGAATCTACAGATGAAATTCCAGACAAGCAAAAGGAGGTATATATGTCATCCTGAACTAAGGAGAAAAAGTGGTCTGGGATTTCAAAGGGAAGGAACACAACTCGCCAGCAGATGAAAAAGAGTAAATGTTTGGTAAATAAAGGTTTGTTGGGCTATTCAGAAATCATAGGACATAGAGAGGACTTTAACCAAACAGGCTTTGCTAGGTTCCTTCCTGTCTACTTTGCCTAGTTCATATTATAATGTTATCTGTGCTGATAGCTCTCTTGCTGGAACAGGTCCTTTATCTAAAATCTTTCAGGCAGCTGTGTGTGTGCATGGGGGTGGGGGGTGGAGTTAGTTTCTTCCTGAGTCTTTGGGCTTTGTTTTCTGCTCAGCATAATCTTTGGTCCAAGTCGCTCATCTTGAGGATGCCTGCCTTTGGCCCCTAAATTGCAAATGCAGTTTTCCCTGGCTCCAGGTTCTGTGTGTCTGTGGTGGGGAAGGTGGTTCATAGAATATATTTGAAGGGCTTGGTACAGTGCCAGATGTACAAATATTCAATAAATAATAGTTTACTTCTTGGGAAACAAATGCTATTCATCTTTGGGGATACAATTGCCCCTAGCAAGGTGGAATCCAGTGCTAAGCACTGTTTTCCCCAGGATTTAAGAGGTAGGCAAGTAGGGGATGAGCCCTGGATCTGAGGTGAATCTTAGAGTACTTGAATTCCATGGAGAATTTTGTAAATACAGAAACTTAGGGATAGAACACAAACATTACAGCATTTCCGTGATTAGCCCAGGATCACATTGTCAGTAAATGGATCTCAGCAATAGAACTCACTTAATCAAGTCTAATATTCTTGATAGCAGGTCAGATCTAGAGGCAGAAGTTTAAACAGGAAGAGAACTCTGACTTGCAGAGGCTATAGAATTTCTGGCTTTCGACTACTGACTTGAGTGATCTAAAAAATAAAAAATACACCTAAAAGTTTATAGCTATGAAAAAGAGATTTAGTTTAGCTAATTCTTCTATAATATATAGAACAACTGTTTGAAAACACTAAGTACGTAATTTTTAAGCCAGCATTAAAAGAAATTAAAGATGAAAAATTTCCTCCAATTCTACAGCAAAAATATAACTGTTATTTCTGTTCCCTCCTATTTTATTCATATGTACCCATATTTTAAAAAAAAGATTTTATTTATTTATTTGAGAGAGAGAGTGAGTGAGTGAGAGAGTACAAGCAGGCATAGGGGCAAAGGGAGAGGGAGAAGCAGACTCGCCACTGAGCAGAGAGCCTGAGGACATGGGCTCCATCCCAGGACAAAGGCAGATGCTTAACTGACTGAGCCACCCAGTGGCCCCATATGTACCCATATTTTTAAATTCTCTTAATCCTTGCTTATATAGATAGGTTTTGTTCCTTTTATTTAATACTGTTCTGGGAATTTTTTTCTATGTGGTCGATTGTTTTCCTTTTTTAAGATTTGTTTATTCATGAGAGACAGAGAAGCAGAGACATAGGCAGAGGGAGAAGGAGCCTTCTCGTGTGGAGCCCAATGCCGGACTCGATCCTAGTACCCTGGAATCATGATCTGAGCCAAAGGCAGACACTCAAACACTGAGCGACCCAGGTGCCCAGGTGGATAGTTTCCAAATTTTTTATTAGTAAAAGCATACTAATGTTCCATAGGAGTGAGATGGCCATAATTTACTCAGTCTAACCACAGAAAATTCATTTCCAGTAATTTCATGTTATCAGTAACATTAGGGGATCCCTGGGTGGCTCAGCGGTTTGGCCCCTGCCTTTGGCTTGGGGCGTGATCTTGGGGTCTCGGGATCTAGTCCCTGCATCGGGCTCCCTGCATGGAGCCTGCTTCTCCCTCTGCCTGTGTCTCTGCCTCTCTCTCTCTCTGTCTCTTATGAATAAATAAATAAAATATTTTTTTAAAATAGCACTATAAAGTTTGGGTTATTTAAAATCATTTATATAATTTTTACCTTCCATGAAACTCAAGAGGAATCCTAACAGGAAGGCCAGGGATCTAGACCTGAGATGCTAGATTTTGTCCCCAATTAGATGTATGAATTTACCCGTCTAGCTTTCTGTTGCCAGAGCAGCAGTGATCAACCATAATATCTATTGTACATATGAATTAGACTGGATGCATTTTTTAACTAATAAGTGTAGACATTTTCAAAATGATTTACTTTACAAGATATGTGAACCATAGCAGATTTGAGCAGATTCAAGTGCCATAATAACACTCAGGCTGATTAGCTTTCCTTATGAATATATTTTCCAAAGATTGTATGAGTGCATATTCATTTGTAATTAAAAAACTTTTTTATAAAGGAGCCAATTAAATTGGGAGAATAAAAGCTATAATTGGCCTTTATTAGTGCATCTCCCTTTTCAAAGCACACATATTGTCTTATTTTCTGCCATTCTAAAACATTAACTAGTCCTTCTTTTTTTAAAATTATAAAGTATTTCAGACAAAAGTACAGGGACTATTCTACACCATCATCCATGTACCAACCAAAGATGTAATGGTTGTTAAGATTTTGCCATATTTTCTTTAGGTTATGTTTTTTAAAGAAGTAAAACATTATGGCTAACTCTTTGTACCCCTTCCCAGTCTCATTTCCTTCCTATCCTGGGGAAAATTGTTCTTCTGAAGTTGTTATATATTTTTCTATGTATGTTTTTATGTGCATTCAAATGTGAATGGCCATAAATGATTTGTAATCTATTCTTTTGTATGCCCTTTAATATTTACATACAGTGTACCATATTTGTCTTCTGCAACTTACTCTTCTGCAACTTTTTTGGGTCACCATTGTTTTTGAGATTTATCCAAAAGGCTAAATATAGATAAAGTTTGCTTTTATTGCTGTATTCTATCATATATTAAGAAAAATCTCCCTATTGTTATTGAACATTTAGGTAGTTTTGAGTATACAAATATATTCATATAAGTCATACAAATACTGTATGATTCTAATATGAAGTTACTAGAATTGACAAATTCATAGAGACAGAAAATAAAATAGAGATTACCAGAGGCTGTGGGAGTGGGGAATGGGGAGTTATTTTTCAGTGCCAAACTCTGTATTGGCATTGAAAAGGTTTTGTAAGTGGATAGTGGTGATAGTTGAACAACATTGTGAACGTACTAAATGCCACTGAACTGTATGCCTAAGATGGTTAAAATGATAAAATATACAATATGTTACCACAGTCAAAAATGGCAAGCATAAGAATTATGCTTATTCTTCAAAGGCATATACTTGATGCCATGGTTTTGGTGGAATGAAGCACTGAGAAAAGTGAGATTTATTTTTTAAAATAAACTTTAAGTTATATTAGCCAGATCTATTTTTCCTTGTAAAATGATAGTTTTTGAAATTTTTAAATGACTACTATTATTTACATGCTTGTGTAAGGTTTTTTTGCATACTGTGCTTCAGAAGTCTCTGGGGTCTTTTTGTTTGTGTTTTGCTCTACTTCTCCAGTGTTTTGGGGAGGATTCATTTGGGTACGCCTTTGAGGCTTTCTTTTTGCATTTGAATGCCGGTTTTCCTTTGTTTCTTTGATTAGCTCTCAAGTGTTTTACTCTCTTTCTTCTCCCCTTAACACTGTTCTTCCCCTTTCTCCCAACCCCCATCCCCACTCAATGCTCTGCCATCTTGGGTCATCTCTGCCCAGATGCCCAGTTTACGAATAGCCATGCCTTCTATTTGGGTCTCTGTCTTCCACGTCTGCCCACTCATAAGTTTCCCTCCTGCACACATACACCCTGCTTGCTCTTTCGTCTTTCTCAGGGCTTCCAAGATTCTTCCTCTCTCCAGTCCTTCTGCCCACCTTCCCCCTTTGATCCCACCTCTAGTCTCTTCCCTTTTCCAATTTTGTAAGAGGCATTTACTAAGAAAGAGACCTGTTTCATGGCAATTTATAGTCTTCTACAATGTTGTACTTTTCATATTTGGAAAGTTGGTCTTAATTTTGGGATTTTTTTTAAAGAAAATTTTTTTCTGACTCTTAAAAAAATAGGATTCTGACCTTATAGCTTTGATATATTATTGGATGAAGGAAGAGAAAAGCACTTAATGTGAAAGAAAATTGGTAAGTTATACTGCTTAAGATGTTTAATATGAACTCATAGCTAATGTACCATTTTCAGTAACCCTGTATTTTATTGTGGAATAAAATAAAATGATCATCATTACAATTTTGACCCCTTCCTATTTCCCTTAAAAATGGCTGGGCAAATTTTACCTGTCCCTCTCCATTTCTCTTCTGGGACTCAAACATTTAGAATAAAACATTAGTAACTTAGTTTCTAATTCTAGAGTTGGCATCCATAACTATTCAGTGGCAAGTAAAGCACCTACTATACTTGGAGGCTTACATTTTTCTACTTTCTGGGAGGCTTTCATGGTGGAACAAGGAGTTTCTTCAGTGAATTTGTATTTTCATTTGCTTTTCTGCCTCTCTCTTTAGGTTTTGGTAATTAATGATATGTTAAAGAATCATACGTGTTATCAGACATTGCTATTTATAGAGATGGCTTTATAATGTGACTAATCATGCCAGATCACTTAGTCATGAATTTTTAAAAGATTTTATTTATTTATTCATAAAAGACAAACAGAGAGAGGTAAAGACATAGGCAGAGCAAGAAGCAGGCTCACTGTGGGGAGTCTGATGCAGGACTCAATCCCAGGACCCTTGGGATCACGACCTGAGCCAAAGGCACAATCAACCACTGAGCCACCCAGGTACCCCTAGTCATGATGTTCTTGAGGTGAAGTGAATTAGTGGAACTTGATGGTTGTCAAGTAACCAGACAGGTTAGGGGGAATGTTGCCTCCAAGGAAGAATAGTCTATTTGCTTCTGAGAAGGTAGGAAACAGTTTTAACAAATTTCATGGTTGAGCTTCTATGCTAGTCACTGCTTGACCATCATTTCTTCAAGTGATATCGGGGAATAATGGCATGAATGATTCCCCCAAATCATTTATACTTTATGGGACAGAAGCCTCTAAACATTTGTGCCGAAATAGCTTATTATAGGTACTCAAGCTTGAGTTTATTTTGTTTCTGTCATTGAGATAGACTCCTTTCTTTTTTTTTTTTTAAATCTTTTTTCTTTTTTTTAATTAATTAATTAATTAATTAATTTATGATAGTCACAGAGAGAGAGGCAGAGACACAGGCAGAGGGAGAAGCAGGCTCCATGCACCGGGAACCCGATGTGGGACTCGATCCCGGGTCTCCAGGATCGCGCCCTGGGCCAAAGGCAGGCGCCAAACCGCTGCGCCACCCAGGGATCCCAAGATAGACTCCTTTCTAATAATGCATTGCTTATGCTAATATCAAAATGGAAGTATTGTGACCATTTCCTTCACTTGGCCTTGGGGAAGTGACTTTGTATTTCAGAGACTCAGTTTCCTTAACTATAGAATGGAGATCAAAATGCCTTCATGATTTGTTGTGGGTAATTGGAAGATAAGGAGTTTCTGATTTGATAAATGCTATCTTTTATCTTTTCCCCCTTTATATTACATAAGAGATTCAAGAACTTAAGTGGTAAAAGATGTGTCCTAAAATGACCTACCATAATTTGTTGGTCCCCATTCAGTTTTTCTACGACCCAGAATACTCCTAGGACCAATAAATGATGATAGGTAATACATAGGATAATCTCCATGCTGATAAATTAGATAGATGTATGGTAATTTTTTGAATTGTAATTTGAAATCCAATTTATGTTCACTCCCTGGGCCAGCTACGAGAGGGCTGATATCTCTGATTTGCTGATTCTTCACTGACAGTGAGGAGAACCCCAGCATTACATACTGGAAAGCTTTCATACAGCACTTTACATTAAATTAAATCAGACAAGGAGGGCCCTTTATAAACTTATTGTTAAAAAACATTTTGGTTACTCATTTAGCAGAACTGCCCGAATTGTAGAGGTGAGCACACCGAGGTTCCAGTGCATTTAAGTGACTAGTACAGTCTGATGGGCAGGACTCATTGAATGTTTTTTTTTCCTATCCAATTGTTGAGTTAATTCAGTAAGCCCTATTGAGATTGGACTGTCCTGGTAGGGAGCATCTGCCCATTTCTAGGAACTTTTTCAATGAGCTCTAATGATTTATGGGGGCCTAGTAGGTTTTCTGCAGAAATCCTTTACCAACCAGTATTTCTTTCTTAGAACATGTGTGCTTGTGTTTAAGGCATCCAAGATAGAACTGTAACCTGGGCTCAACATAAAAAGCTGTAGTTTTGTCAACTTTAAAGCTCCTATAGTCAGGCAGTGTGGATGAAGAGAAATTGAGGTTGGCTGGAGGAACTCATCATGACAGAGACAGCTATTTCTACTCATAGCCATGTATAGGGAGTATAGACTTGTTTTCCACTTTTTCTTTTTCTTTTTAATTTTTAAAAGATTTTATTTATTTATTCATGAGACACAGAGAGAGAAGCAGAGTACACAGGCAGGGGGAGAAGCAGGCTTCATGCAGAGAGCCTGACATGGGACTCGATTCGGGGATTCCAGGATCACGCCTGGGCCAAAGGCATTCACCAAACCGCTGAGCCACCCAGGCGTCCATGTTTTCCACTTTTTAATAAAGCAGTGATATACATAGGGAAGCTAAAGTGTGCTAAGGTCTTGTTTGTTAAAAAAAAATTGGGAATACGGATTAATTTCAGACTGTTAGAAAAACATGAATGTAGATCTGTATGTTACAAAGAAGAATTCAAGAAAAAAACTCATACAAATTAATAGAATATGCAACTTACAAGCATGGGAAAAATAAAAGGAATAGGGAAAATTCCATCAATTCAAATATGCAGACAAAGATAAAAGATGTATACTCTGGCAAATAAAAAACACAAAATAAGATGGAAGAAGTAAGTCTAAGTATATGGGTAGTACAATAAATGTAAATAAATGAAGCTCACTTATTAAGAGACCCTTAGATTGGATTTAAAATTTTGCAGTTTTGCTATTTACAAAAACTATACTTAAAATGACTCAGAAAGTTTGAAAACAAAGGGATGGAAAAATATACATGAGGCAAATACCAACCAAAAGAAAAATTGTGAGGCAGCCTTAATGTCATACAAAATATGATTTAAGGCAGTTTAGTAATAAACAGACATTTCACAGTAACTAAAGGAAAAAAATCTTCAAAGAGGCTATTGACTATGAACCTATGCCGTAACCACATAGTCTTGAAATATATAAAAAACAAAAAGCAATGGGATTATAAAGAGAAATTGACAATCCCTAATAATAAAGGAAGACTTTTAAAACACTTTTGTCAGAAAATGGTTAAGGAAAACATATTGAAAAATGAAAAAGCATAATATGAAAGATTTAAGATCTAAATGGAATGGAAGGGAGAGAATCTTTGATGCCAAATTCTTAATGACAAAAATGCATTTTTTAGTTCAAATGTGAATTTTTTTTTCAAATTTTTTAGGTAGGAAAAATTTTAAGCTACATGCTACATTCATATGTGTGTGTGTGTGCGTGTGTGCGTGTGTGTGTTGGCGGTGGGGAGGGGTTGTCTGCTTGCACCTGGTGGCCTTTTTAATCTGAGGACTCATTTTTCTTCAGTTCTAGCAAACTCTTTTATTAACTCTTTCAGTATTGTCTTTGCCATTCTATATATTTCCTTCTGATATTCTTTCTGGATATATATTGAAGATGTTCTTTTGTTTTCTTCTTATCTCTTAATTTCTCTCTTCTTTCCCATAACTTTCTTTGGTCTGTATTCTGGTGGATATCTTCTGTTCTCTCTTCCAGTTCATTGATTTTTTTTTCCTCATCAATTGTGTCTAATTTATTTAGATCTCTCTTGAGTTTTTTATTTCTAATAGTGATATCTATTTCTTGGATACTCCTTGGTTCTTTTTCACATTCACTTGTTTGTTTTATGGATATTATTTCTTTCCTTTTTTAAAAAGATTATTTATTTATTTATTCATGAGAGACACACAGAGAGAGAGGCAGAGACATAGGCAGAGGGAGAAGCAGGCTCCATGCAGGGAGCCCGATGTGGGACTCCATCCCGGGACTCTAGGATCATGCCCTGGGCTGAGGGCAGGCTCTAAAACGCTGAGCCACCCAGGGATCCCTGATATTATTTCTTTCTTGAGCTCTTTTTTTTTAAGATTTTATTTATTTATTCATGAGAGAGACAGAGAGAGAGAAGCAGAGACACAGGCAGAGGGAGAAGCAGGCTCCATGCAGGGAGCCCGACGTGGGACTTGATCCCGGGTCTCCAGGATCATGCCCTGGGCTGAAAGTGGCGCTAAACCACTGAGCCACACAGGCTGCCCTCTTGAGCTCTTTAGACATATTAAATATATACTTCTTTTTTTAAAAGATTTTACTTATTTATTCATGAGAGACACACACACAGAGGGAGGCAGAGACATAGGCAGAGGGAGAAGCAGGCTCCTCACAGGGAGCCCAATGTGGGACCCGATCCTGAAACTCCGAGATCATGCTCTGAGCCAAAGGCAGGCACTCAACCATTAAGCCACCCAGGCATCCCTAAATATATACTTCAATGTGGCATTCATTTTGCTCTGTTATCTCTAATTCCTTGAATGAGAATTTTCTTTTTTTAGGGCTATAGACTGCTTACTTTGATGTTTTATAATTCTTATCAATGAGTTAATTCTCCCGGGGCTTTTTCTGACCTTGTGTGACCTAGGAAGTGGAGGAGGCACCTCCATTACATGATGTCCTGAGCAACTTACTTGAGCCTTGAAGGTTTCATCAGATCCTAATCAGTTTTAATGTTAGCATTTTAGCTTGAAGTTTCTATTCCATACAGATGAATGGAATTTGAGCCATCTGTGCTTATCTTCTTCACCAGCTTGGAGTTCCTACATGTTTCCATTGCCTTTTCCATTCTCCCATAGATCTTTCTCAGATTTAAGCTTCATTAGGCCTCTGCTGATTGAGGAGCCCTGCCCTATGGCCTCAGATCATACCCGTAACCCAGCATATTTCCAGCTGTTAGGGACACATACCTCATTTATGTCTCCCCCTTGGGCTAAGCAGCTTTAGCTTCTGCATAGAAATACGAATTCCT